TCTTCTTGTTCAATTGACCCTTTAATCATGAAATAATTTTCTTCTTTGTCTCTTATGCTGGTTTTTACCTTAAAGTATGCTTTATCAGAAATTAATATTGCCACTCCTTCTCATTTTTTTATTGCTATTAGCTTGATACATTTTCTACCACCCTTTGATTTTTAATCCATTTTTGTATTTGTATGTAAGGTGTGTCTCTTGTAGACAGTGTATTGAAGGATCCTGTTTACTTATCTATTATGCTACCCTGTCCCTTGACCAGTACATTTAATATGTTGACATTAAGTTTAACTATTGATAGGCATGAATTGATTACAGTCATTTTGCTAAGCGTTGTTTTCGTTTTTGTTTTTGAGGGTACAGCTGGTTTCTTTGTTCCACATAATTTTCTGTATTGAGTTCATTTTACTTGTGTGTGTGTTTTTTTTTGTCAGAATCTTCATTGCTTTTGTTTTAATGTTTGTTAAATCTTCATGGTTTTCCCTTTTCTTAATTTGAAGTGAAGGTCTGATCATTTTCTTTGAGGTTAACCTGTAATTTGTTCATTTCTTCCTCAGTTTAAAATAGTCTGTTTAATTTTTAAATCTACTTGAGTTTCTCACCATTTGAAAGTTCTATAACTATACCTTTCCTGCTTTTTACTTTGTAGTTTTCTTCCTTATGAATTGATATAGCTTGTTCCCTATTTCCATTCCTATAGGTCTATTTTACTGTGGATATCTCAATATCTGGTTTGAATTCTGGGTGGTGTTGCTGTGTATATCAGTCTCAGGTTTTTGTCTACTATTGTTGGTTCTCAGTCAATAAGACTTCATCTCATATTGTTTTGTAAAAATGGCCAGGTTATTACAAATTCCTTTAATTTCTGTTTATCTGGAAATATTTTAATTTTGCCATCATAATTTTTGGTGGGCATATAATTCTTGGTGGGGAATTTCTTTCTTCAGAGTTTTGTATATGTCTCCCCCATTACTTTCTTGTCTGCTTGGGTTCTATTGAGAAACCAGAGCTTAATCTTATTAGTTCTCCATGGTAGGTAACTTTTCCTTTTTCCCTATGTGCTTACCGGATTCTTTCCTTGTCTTTGATTTTAGAGAGTTTGATTATTATATGTCTTGGTGATTTTCTTTTGGGGTCTGTCATGCCTGAGGTTCATTCATTCAGCTTCTTGAATGCTTATGTTCTCATCTTTCATGTTGTCAGGGTCATTTTCTTCCAATAGCTCTTTGACTATCTTTTCTGAGCTTTTTCTTCCTATTTTGGTTTTCCAATCACCTATAAGTTATTCCTCTTCATGTTTTTCCTATGTGAAATCTTACAGATTTTTTCCTTCCTTTTTTTCTAACATACTAATATTGAGAGATTCAGCCTCATTAATTCAGGCTTCCACTGATTCGAATCCACTCCATTGCCCTTTTAATATATTGTCCATCTTGGAAATCTTAGTACTGATCTTCTACATTTCTATTTGAAGGTTTTGTATTATCTCCAATCCCGTATCATTTTGTTTGATTGATCCTGTAGTGTTTTAGTGAATTCTTCCTTGTTCTCCTGGACCTTTCTGTCAACCATTTGGAAGTACCTAAATATCATCCTCTTGAATTATTTTTCATGCAATTCCAATGTCATTTTTCCCTCAAAAATATTTTCTAGCTCTGTCTCTTGGTCACTTGTTTGAGCCACTCTGTCTTGTTTCTTCGGGTGACCAGAAATTGTCTGTTGCTTTCAAGATATTGTGGTGTTGGTGTATTTGTTTTAATTTGATGATTGTATGTTGGTGTATTCTTAGGCACTCACCACTGCCTTTAGTGGGTGTGATTAGGGGATGAGCTTGTGCACTGTTCTCTGTTTGCTATTTTTGCAGTTCAGTTTGGATGGATTTAGCTGATCATGGTTGTTTTCATTGATCCTGTGTATAGCAGCTAGTATTTGTTATTGCCCAATGAGTGATCTGTCATATGAGTCAAGAAGATACAACACACACACAAGAGAGAAGGAAAAGAAACAAGCAAGCAAACAGCAGTTAAAAAATAAAACAGTAGAGAAGAAGAAAAAAGCCAACAACAGCTAGAGAAGAATACAAAACCCAAAGTGGGGAAATTTTAAAAATAGAGATAAAGTGAAAAGAAAGAAAAAGCACTAAACACAGTTAGGGACAGGAATGAGTAAAAAGGACCTGGCAGTAGTAGAGACAAACAATGAGAAAAATAAAGAAGCAGCAGCAGTGATTAAGAAAGCAAAACAGAAATAAAGTACACAAAATGAAACTGGAGACAGAAATTATAGAAAGCAAGAGAGAGGAAGAAGAGTAGGAAAGAAGAAACAAACAAAAGCAATGAAAGAAAAAACCAGAGCAGGTGCCCGACACAGAGAGCTGAAAATTCTGGGCTCTCCTTCCAGCCAAGGACCTCACCTCTTGGGTGGGTAAAGGATGAGAAGGTAGCCCTCTCAGCCCTAAGTGGAGTTTCTGTAGGTGTTGTCTGCTCTAGGCACCCCATCTGGAAGTAGTTCATGCAGATCCCACAGCAGCTGCAGGGGGTCAGGGTATTTTCATCCCAGAGGACAGCTGAGGGGTAGAGGTTCTGCTAGTCCAGGGCTTGCTAGAACCCGTTCTGCAGGTCTGGAGCAGGCCACACCTGATTCCATGTGCCAGAATTAGCGCTACAGGGCCCCCACACCCTCTGATACACCTCTGAAGTTTGCAGAGCAGAAAAGTGATTCCTCATCTACCATCATCTTCTGCGTCTGAGCTTCATAAGCCGTGGTGTGACTGGAGCCATTGCCCAGCAATAGGAAAGGTGCTGTGATAAGGAACCTGTGCCACACAGCACTGCCAGAGAGGTACCTCACTCTCCACCAGAGTCATTTCCTTTCTGCAGCAGCATCGTAGAACCCAAAAGAAACCATACTACAAAAACACAAGTCAATGTAAAATGGGGGATGGTGAACGGATTGTTAGGAAAATGCTATTTAGAAGCACTTGAAGAGGAGGACCTGTTAGAAACATGAGATTTTTTATGAATTTTGTAAAAGCCAGAATTATCATGGCATCCATTAACTTCTTCCTTATAAAATGAAAGCAGTTGTATTAAGCAGAGGCATAGAAACTTGGGCCCTTTGTTCAGTGTTTCATTTCCCACCCAAAATAAGGTGTTCTATCTAGCCCACTTCCCTGGTCTCCTTCTCCCCATGCCTTCCTTCGCTGTCCTTACTCCCTCCCTCCTTCTTTTGCTCTCCATCCTGCCCCACCCCCACCCCCACCTTTCTCACTCCCTCTCTGCTTTCATTTCTACTGCTGGAATTGGAAACTCCTGAGCTGGAATACTGCTTTCACAGTGCTTAGCTTTGTGTGCAGGAACAAGTGACTTCCCCGTCTTGAGTGCATTTGTCTCCTCTAAAGAGGTGATGAGTAGGAAGGCAGAGCCCACAGTGCAGGCCTGCAGGAATACTGTTTGCATGGCAGACAGACTCCATGATGGTGCTCCTGGCATCTTGGGTACTCTGCTGTCCCTTTCATATCCTGTATCATGATCTACACCTATGCTGGACCTGCTACAGAGCTTCTTAAGAAAGTTGTGCTCCCCTCCAAGACTGAAACTCAAAGGGAACATACAAGCAGGGAACATGTAAGCTTGCTGGCCACCATGTTGGTCTACTGGTGAGTGGAAGGGGGAGAAAGGCAGCAAAGAAGAAGTAGGCTGACTTCAACCACGTTCCATAGACTCCTGTTAACCTGGATATGAGAGATAGAAGAGGTAGGGCTGCTTGATCTGAAGTATGGTGAGACCTGGGGACTCCTGAGCCCATGGACAAAGACAAAGCCACAGAGAGCTAGAGCTGAGAGTGAGGAGATGCACAAGAATGCCCAAATTTGCAGATAATACCCCTTTGACTTAGCTTCTATGGCTTGATAATCAGAACTCAACTAGAGGAAGATTTTTTTTAAAAAAACAATTTTTGATAGAGGAAACAAGGGTAAATTGCTGCAATTTGATGAACTTAACCTATAACTATGGATGTAATAGCTCAAAGTACCAACTGAGAGGGAATGAGTCTTCACATCAAGTATCAATCCTATCCCTTCTGTATACAGAGTAGATAGGGATGGGCAACTTAACTTAAACATTGACTACCTAAAATGAGGGGGCGATAAAGGCATGAAGTGACTGGCTTACCAGTTTTCAAGAGGGAGTTTAGTTTAAGAGTATACAGGGGACTATAGAGTCCCCACCAAATAGTTTTCATCATGTCTAGATGGGTCTGGTAAAAAAAGATGGGGATAAGATTCTTATGATTCAGTAGTCAGTAATTGTTATCATGACTAATTGTGATTGTCACAACTGTAAAGGTAGAAGTTTTGTAACAAAAACAAGGAAGTAGTTAATCTTACAGTCCAGAAACAGAGGACCCTAGGACCATTAAGGGAGAAGAACGCAAGTGGTGTGTTTGACCCTATCCAGAGAAGCAGCAACACCAGAGATGAAGGCAGAGATAGAGCATGAAGAGATAGAGCAGCTGAGGACTCTAGACTCATGGAAAGAGAGGGACTGGGTGCTGGTGGCCAGGAGGCAGGCTTGTAAAATGTGCCCCTTGGTGGTTTGATTTATTATATATTTCTGAGTGTTTCTGTGTACTTCCTCCCAGCCACCACCACCACCACCACCACCACCACCCCAAAAAAAAAGAGGGAATGGAAGCAAATTCTCTTGAATGATGATGCACAGAGAAGATTCTAATCATTGCAATGAAATGATGGTGTAAAGCTGATGTTCTCCCATGTAAACTGTCACTCAGTTCACAATAAAAACTTGAAAAAAGAAAAGAAACTTGTAAGAATAAGAGAAACTTCTTACTAACAGTAAGAGAACCTTCTAAGAAATCTCATGGTTTCTTATTTGTGATGAACAAACTATCTTAACTGGATCCAACAGCACAGGGTCTCAGCGCCCCTCTGCTTTCCTCCACATACCTTGTGTCTTATCATATCCTTTTCCCCATAGCCCAGCGCCTGGCCATGTACCAGGAGGCAGACTCAGAAGAAGAGGAGGTGGTGCCTCGGAGTGCCTCCCTGTCCCTGCACAGCAGCATCGGGGGCCATCAGAGTATGCGAGTCCCACACAGGGTCCAGAGCACCAGGTCGCACCGACGAACAGGAAGCTGGGCCGAGGCCAAGAGAGCCAATGTGCTATCTAGACACACAGCCTTCAGCAGCCCCATGGTGAGTGGCACAGCCTAGGGCCAGATAGGACTGCAGCTTGCCCATGCCTGGGCCCGGACTGGCCTCTCAGTACCACTTCCACTGCTGTTTTCTTCATTAGAGGATCTGTATTTCAGATTGAAAATGAGCGAGACAAGTTTGGCTTGTTGTCCACGACTTAATACACAGTACTTTTTTCTGTCTAATACGTTCTCCACACAATTGTGTCTTTCCCAAAACACTGACCAAGGCTTCTAAGGGTGGTGGCTGCCAATGAGCCACGCAGGGACACTGAGAGAAAGAGTCTATCCTGTCAAATATATGGCTGAAACCTCAGAACAAGATGGTCAGAAAGGTGATAAGAAAGTAGACCCAAACAAAAACATGTCTAATTAGGTGAACCCACAAGTAGTAACCCTTCATTCTTCCTGACTTTGACAGCAACCCAAACATTATGGACAACCTCAGAAATGAGTGATCTCTAAGAATTCTTTTTGGTTCTAAAATGTCTTAACAACAGATGGGTAAAATCCGTTTTGTTCACTGTGTAGTGGCTGCTGTTCTAAGCCCACCAGCCGCTCTGGGCAATCCTATAGTGGATCACTGTGAGTCAGAACTGATTCGATGGCTGTTCACAACAACAAAGCTATATAAACCCAATCCCGTGCCATCAATTCGGACTCATACTAACCCTGTACAGGGTCTCTGAGGCTGTAATCTATGGAAGCAGAAAGCCTCTTTCTCCCACAGAATGGCTGGTGAGCTTGAACTACCAACCCTGAGGTTAGCGGTCCAGCACTTAGCCTACAAGTTTTCTGCCCCACTAAAGATTCACAGTTTAGAAACCTTTTATAAGGTTGTTATGAGTCAGAATTAACCCAATAGCAGTGGGTTTGTTTTCTTTATTGTTTTTTATAAACCCATATAAAGAAGCCCTAGTGGCACAATGGGTGAAGTGTTGGCAAGGTTGGCAGTTCAAATTACCAATCTTTCTACAGAAGAATGAGGCTGTCTGCTTTCAAAATTTAGTCTTGCAAACCCTAAAAGGCAGGCAGTTCCGCTTTCTCCTATAGAATTACTATGAGTCAGAATCGACTTGAAGGCAGTGGGTTCAAACCTATATAGAAACTGCCACTAAAACCAAGGTGATCTGGAATTGTGGGTGCTGCTGGTGCAAATGTTCAGGGCACTAGGAGGGGGTGCTCACACTGGGGAGGAGGGAGGATGTGTTGAGATAAGTTTTCTGGCAGCAATTTAGCAATATGGGTCAAGAGTACAGGCACACCTCATTTTATTGCTCTTTGCGTCATAACTGTGTTTTTCTTGTTGTTGTTGTTGTTACAAATTGATGATTTGTGGAAAGCCTGCCTCAAGCAAGTCTATTAGTACCATTTTTCCAACAGCACGTGTTCTCTGTGTGTCTCTGTGTTACATTTTGATAAACCTCATGAGATTTCCATTTATTTCGTAATGATACCATGCACTTTCTAGACTATGTTGTTGTTGCTAAGTGCCGTTGAGTCGTTTCTGATTCATAGTGACCCTGTCTAGGGTTTCCAAGGAGCAGGTGGTGAGCTTCAACTGTCGACCTTGTGGTTCAAACCGACTTTGCAGTCCAGCACATTAACCCCCAGCACCACATAACTTGCTTTATTGCTATAGTCACCTTATTGGAAAGATTCAAACTCTGACCTAGATTTAGTGATTCAGTCAAAGATTTATGTGCAGAGAAGTTTATCAGTGTGGTGTTTATAATATTAAAACTGTGAATGAGACTTAAATGTCCACTGAATGGCCAAATAAATGATGAGGCTTCCATTTTAAAAGATGTGGTTTTAAATAACTTTTTAAAGGCATAGGGAAAATAAAAGCTATCAATTTGTGTATAAAATATTTTAACTATGTAAAATTTAAATGTATATGAAAAAGACTAACAGGAAACAGAAGCATGTTTCTCAAAAACTAGTTAGTGTGTAGAGCAGTGTGACACAGCTTGGTTATCCATATTCTCTAAATTTTGCAAATTTTTCTAGCATATGAAACCTTATTTTTTGATAATATTCTTAAATGCTTTACTTTATGTTTCTGTTGTTAAGTCCCACCAAGTCTGTTCCAACTCATAGTGACCCTGCATAGCAAGGAGCGGCTGGTGAGTTTGAACCACCGATCTTGCAGTTCAAATCGACTTTGCAGTCCAGTGCATTAACCCACAGTGCCACACCAGACTTCTTATATTATAATAAGAACGTGTATATTTTATATTGTAAGAAGGTAAATATTTATCTTTATACATGTTATATATTGCCATACAAAAATTATAGAAGTTTATAACTGTAAAATGACGCATTACATGTATAGCTGTTTATGTGAGGAAAAGGCCTATTTGCATCACAAAGTTAAGTCAAGCACCAAGAAATGTGGTCGAGTCCTTGGTCAGGCTTACCCATACTCTGCTCCGTGTCCTCACAGGAGAAAGACATCATTCCTGATCCCAAGCTCTTTGAGAAGGTGAGCAAATGTGACCAGTACCTGGCCACTGCGCGACACCAGGAACATCTGCTAACCCAACTTCCACCTGAGCTCTCCGATGTGTTTGACTTCTTCATTGCTCTCACCATCTGCAACACGGTGCTTGTCACATCCCCTGACCAGCCACGGCAGAAGGCAAGTGCAGGGAACCATCGCCACCACCTTTGCCCTCCCAACCCTTCCCAGCCCTTCCTGGAAATGAGCTCCTGTGCATACATATGGCACCCTGCTCAGCACAGCCTCGAGAGAGAGTTTAACATGGGGGCATATGGTACCGTGGTCCAGTGGTATCACTGCATGTTGCAGGTGGGCACGGTGCAGAATTGGGGCAAAACTGGAGAGGACACATAGGCTGGGCTGCTCACCAGAGCTGGGATGAAAGACAGCGAGCGAGGGAATGCAGGGACCTTGTGAAGCCATGGCTGGTTTGACACATAGTCCCATCCTAGCCTTTGCTCCACAAGGTCTCAGACACACAAGAGGGAGCATGGGACCAGGGCTCGGAGCCCAGACTCAGGAAACACCAGGTCTCAGGTCGTGACCAGCTGACCAGCTGGGTGACTCCAGGCACCTTCCCTGTGCCTCATTCTTCTAGTTTGTGCTGTGGTCTGTGGGGAGAACTCAGGGAACATGCTTCATGCAGAGTATGGCACGTAGGGTATTTGATGCTAATAAAGGCACAGGGACTAAGACACAGTCTCAGTTCACTTATGGCAGTAGAAATATACTAATTTTCAGGTTACTTTTATTTGTTGCAACATTAAATTTCTCTCTGAAAAAAAATGACTTTTTACCTTTTTAAAGGCTTTTTTATGCATGAAGATACCCTCAGAAAGTCTTCTATGGGTCGGCCAGTGTGTAAGGGTGGTGCAGAGAAGAATGGTGGCGTACTTCACAGGCCAGGCCACCTTAAATAGGAAAAATCAAAGGTCCCTGTGATGGCTGTGAGCTGCAGGCCTGTCCTGATCCCCTCTCCAGCCTCTGAGTCAGCCCCTTTCAGCCAGCCTTCACATGGGGAGATGGGAGGTATCAGAGGAGGGTATAAAGTGAACCCTACCTTTTCTGTTTCCAGCAGTAGACAGTCCCCCTATGCTTCCGCTCCTGCCTCACTGGCCTACTGAGGACCCAGGTCACTCACTTACCACAGAGTATCAGTCAGAGTGCTTCAGAGACATGTGGCTATGGGACTGGCAAGTCTGAAATCTGTAGAAAGGCTGGAAATGCAGGCAAAATGTTGCAGTCTTCTTCTCCAAGAACCCTTCACTTGTAATCTTAAAGCCTTTGACAATTTGGATAAGGCTCACTACATTATTGAGGGTTGTTGTTGTTATGTGCCGCCGTGGAGTCGGTTCTGACTCATAGCGACCCTATACAGGGTTTCTGAGGATGTAAATCTTTACGGGAGCAGAAAGCTTCATCTTTCCCCACAGAACAGCTGGTAGTTTCGAACTGCTGATGCTGAGGTTCACAACCCGATTCGTAACCACTACGCTTCCAGAGCTCCTTATTGAGAGTGATCTCCTTTAAATACAGTCAGTCGATGTAAATGAATTCGTAACCACTACACTACCAGAGCTCCTTAATGTTAGGATTAGAAGTGAGTAAAAGATCACATACGTAGCATTGGTATGGGCTGGAGACCACCACCTTCCCACCCCATGCTTGAGTTCTGTTTAGGGAACAGAAAATCTAATTGCCCAGGATCTCCTGCAATTAAAGATGCCTCAGAGCACATGCTGCCCTACATACAGGTAGCCTTGAGCTGCAGCAGCATTGGGAACCTGCCACCTACATACAGGTGAGCTCCACCTTCAGGATGGCAGAGTCAGTGGGACTGCATTGCAGGACCCTCAGGGCTAGCCTAGCCCCAGGCCATGACCCTCTGTGTCAGGCACAGTGAGCCTTCCTCCAAATTTCTTATGAAGGCAAAAGGATACTTGGGTCAAGAACAGCATGAATGGGTGTCGCCAACCCCATACTGCTTTGCATCAGTTGGAAGTCTGACTTGTATCTACTCTCACAATTGCATCCTAAGAGAATGAATATTGTATAACCTTTTTTAAAATAAACTATTTCTTAGGGAGTTGTTGTTGTTGTTGTTGTTGTTGTTGTTATGTGCCGTGGAGTCGGTTCCGACTCATAAGGACCCTGTACAGGGTTTCCGAGGCTGTAAATCTTTACGGGAGCAGAAAGCCTCATCTTTCTCCTGTGGAATAGCTGGTAGTTTCGAACTGCTGACCTTGCTGTGAGAATGAATATTGTATAACTTTTTTAAAATACAATATTTCTTAGGGAGTTAGTTACAGGGTAAAGCAAATTGTTGACTGCTAACTGAAAAACTGGGAGCTCAAATACACTTGAGGGGCTCAAATACACTTGAGGTGCCTCAGAATAAAGTCCTGGTAATCTACTAAGAAATCAGCTGTTGAAAACTCTGTGCATTTTTGGCCACTGGTTTTTATTATAGCAATGTCAGGTTCACAGAAAATGTGCCCATAAAGTATACAGAGCACGCATTTACAGAAAGGAGCGCCGGCTCTGGTGGTTTGCTGGCGCTCTTACAGGGATGCTGAGACAGCATCTTGTGCTTGCAGAACACATCTTGGGGCCCGGTGGCAAGATGATTCCTTCACCCGCCCCCTGACTGTCTCTCTTCCAGGTGAGTGTGCAGTTAGAGCTCAAGTCCCCTGTGAAGACAATCGAGGACTTTCTCCGCAGGTTCACGCCCAGCCGCTTAGCCTTGGGCTGCAGCAGCATCGGGAACCTGCCCACCAGCAGGTCAGCCAACAAGTCAGACTCCAACTTCATGTCTTCTCTGTCTAGTGATAGTGCTCTGCTCCAGCTAGAGCAGCGCCTGGGCCCGCCTGGGCCCGATGTCACCGGCAACGGCATTCGCAGCCAGGCAGCAGCGAGCTGGGCGCTGGGCTGTCAGGAGGAGCGCGAGCTGCGCTATGAGGCCGAAAGCCCGGACGAGGCAGCGCTGGTGTACGCAGCGCGCGCCTACAACTGTGCGCTGGTGGACCGCCTGCCAGACCAGGTGTGCGTGGAGCTGCCGCATCTAGGCAGGCTCACCTTTGAGCTGCTGCACACGCTCAGCTTTGACTCCATCCGCAAAAGGATGTCCGTGGTCATCCGGCACCCGCTCACCGATGAAATCAACGTGTACACCAAAGGCGCCGACTCTGCGGTCATGGATCTCCTGATTCCGTGCACCTCAGGTACCGTTTCGCAGGCTGGCACCCTCCCAGTTCCTTCCCACGGGGGGATGTACAGTCAGAATCGTTTGGTTTGCGGTTGGAATGTGCCGAGGTACCTAATGGCCTACTTCCAAAGAATCAGCTACTGAAAACCCTGACACGAATGGGGTCATTCGTTTGTTAACTCGAGGACAACTGGAAGCCTGAGTCATCCGTGGGTTTATGATGCAGAATCTGGCAGAGAATTACCTGGCTTCTCTATATCATAATTTCCTCTGCTTAAGGGTTGGACGCTGTTTAAGGTAAGGAGCTCTGGTAGCTTAGTGGTTACGAATCAGGCTGTGAACCTCAAGGTCAGCAGTTCGAAGCTACCAGCTGCTCCGCGGGAGACAGATGAGGCTTTTTGCTCCTGTAAAGATTAACAGCCCCAGAAACCCTGTACAGGGTCGCTATGGGTAGGAACTGACTCCATGGCACATAACCACCACAACCACCACCAAAGGTTGGACTAGAAAACAGTTGGGGTGAGGATTCACCGGACCCCAAACTAAAATAGTGTTTGAAATCACTGGGGGTGAAGACTAACATAAGGTTTTAAATCTGATTAATGAAGGCTAAGTAACTTTGACCAGAAAGGTTCCTTCCTCTCCCTGAGGGCAGCTTCGAGGCCCTTGTCATGGCTTTTTGCCTATTGGTAGCACTTCCTCAGGCCATAGCAGGGGACCTAAAATTGGGATTTCTGACCTCCTTCCCATCCTTTGCACTAGCTCAGGCATAACCATGCCTCGTGGGGCTCATCTATGTATTACAGTTCCATGTCACTTTGGGTTTGGAATACAGGCATTAGAAAGCTGACATTTCATTCCTCTCTGTAGGCCAGCACTGGTGAAGAAGTCTTCTTTCTTTTGGGGAGACAGGAGGGCTGCACATCCCACCTCTGGGAGAAGAAAGTGGGGGGAAGGGAGAGTGCTGTGGACACGTTGGTGATGACCCTGGTGGGTTACAACTGCCTGGCACCCCTATCATGCCTTATCCGAGAAACAATACAACCCATTGTGAAAACCACTGCACGCATAAACCCTTCCTTAAGCCTGGAACAGAATGAGGGAGTAACACCGGTGTGCCGGTGGGGGTGGGGTGGGGGGGACGACAGACTAAAGGGAGGGGCATTGGGGAGCTTTGCAAGGGGCCATTCATTTTCTCATCACAGGACTGTGCCCTGCAAAAGGCAACTAAGCTAAATTTACACATTGATATCTGCAAGTAGATTGGGAGACCTTTCCTAATGGATGGCAGGATTTTCCTCTCCCAGAGAGAACACAGAACATAATTAAAGGGCCTACTTTGCATTCCAAGAGGATTTATTCGAAAATTCTATTTTCATTTACATCCTTACAAAAGAAAAACATTATGGCAGTGATCCAAGTAGATTCCAGTCTGCTGCAATAATTCCAGCTGTTCTCAGCCACCCACACAGAAGTAGCTAGCTCTCTAATCCATTCCATTTCTGACACCACAATGTGAGTCCAAGTAGAACTGTGCTCTGCAGTGTTTCGAATGATCTTTCAGAGATAGATCACTAGCACTTTCTTAGAAAGCTTCTGTGGGTGGACTTGAGCCTCCAACCTTTCCGTTAGCAGCAGCCAAGGACTTTAACCTTAAGTATCTCTCAGAGACTCAGTTCTAGCCTGTAGCTGTGCATTAAAGACAATGTGATGGGCCTTTGTGTTTCATGCTAACCCCATATGGAAGAGATGCATAAGATAAAAGACCTGAACTAGTTCTGCCTGTAAAATCAAGCAACGTGCAGAAAGGGGCACACATACCCACTTCCACTGCAACCAATGGGACTATGACAATTGCTAACTTATTTTGCCAAACAGTACATTTGTTTAATGAGTAAAAAATTGTCAAACTCATAAACAAAACCCAAACAAGAATCTTATCCCAAACTCTCACTATTTCATTAAAGAAAAAAATATTTTAGCACTCTCTTCCCACCCCACCCCTTAATACTAGGTCATACCAAAACAGTAGATGTATTTAAAGGGAATAAATTCATGAACTGCTCATTAGACGAGCCCTGTTTTCCTCACAGTATGCCAGAGTGGAAAGAACATCATGGAAACTGTGCCGGAGGGAAGGGACAGTAAGCGACAGTCTAGTCTGTCAGCAGCAGTCCCCCAGACTCTCTTAATTCAGTGGCTGCAGGATAGGGGGTCCCCCATATGTCTGCAAACTCCTTGGGGCACGTGGGAAGTAACGGCACCTCCCTTCCCTTCTCTTGCCCATAGTCATTCCCCTTGACAGAGTCCAGTCCCATACCTCTGCAGGCCTCCCACCTGCCCTATGCCTTCCCTCAGGTAGCTTTCCTGTTATGCCAATGCCTCTGCTCACTACACAGCTGGAACAGTCATTCCTGGGAGAAAGTTGATCACCAATAATGAGGTAGCTGCACATGGGTGGACGGATGACGTTGCTGTAACGCTAACCTTATTAAAGTCATGACATTGCTAGGAGCCTAGTATAAAGAAACCCTGGATTTCTAGCTCCATCTTCCTCTGGGCATTTTCAAACAGTTGTTTGATTGGGAAGATTGACATAAAAGTCATGTAAACAGTGGACAAATAGAGAGTCAAGAGACTCAGGGATGCTGGTGATTTTTCAGACAGAGACTGTAGCTGAACCACGCAGGCCCTGGGATGGTCCTGAAGGTATTCACAAGTGCCACATCCAAGATGCACGAGCCATTTAGCATTTACTTTAGGTGGATTCTATGTTTAAGAGATGTATGGGAAAGGGCAGACTAGCAAACCGGCCCTGTCCCCAAAGGTGCAGAAGATATGGTTTCATCAGGTGCCCTGGAGGCCACCCCAGAGACTCCACAAAGGCTACTAAAAACCAAAAATATATTTTATTGAAGAGATGTTTAAAAAACAGATTTTTTTTGTTTAATTTCTATGTGAAGTGGTGTGTGCTATTTGTAAGTGATGAAACAATTCAATAAATCTAGTGACCGAGGTGTCTCCCGAGTACCCCCAGTGGGTTGGTTCTGCAATAATTTCTCTAACCTTATTGAAGGTGGTGGTTGTGTGCCATGGTGTTGTTTCCAACTCATAGCGACCCTGTATAGGGTTTCCGAGGCTGTAAATCTTTACGGGAACAGAAAGCCTCATCTTTCTCCTGTGGAACAACTGGTAGTTTCGAACTGCTGACCTTGTTATCAGCCAAACTCATAACCACTATGCTACCAGTGCTCCTTTAAGGTTGTTGTTGTTGTTGTTGTTAGGTGCCATCAAGTCGGTACTGACCCATAGTGACCTTATGCACGGCAGAACGAAACATTGCCCAGTCCTGGGCCAACCTCACTATTGTTGCCACACTTGAGTCCATCGATGCTGCCACTTAGCCAATCCATCTCGTTGGGGGTCTTCCTCTTTTCCTCTGACCCTCTACCTTACCAAACATGATAGCTTTCTCCAGCGACTGCTCCCTCCTGACAATATGTCCAAAGTATGAGAGACGAAGTTTGACCATCTTGGCCTCTAAGGAGCACTCTGGCTGCACTTCTTCTAAAATGGATCTATTGGTTCTGTTGGCAGCCCATGGCACTTTCGATATTCTCCTCCAACACCATAACTCAAAGGCATCAATTCTTCTAGGGTCTTCCTTATTCACTGTCCAGCTTTCACATGCATATGAGGTCATTGAAAATACCATGGCTTGGGTCAGGCGCACCTTAGTCCTCAAGCTGACATGTTTGCTCTTCAACACTTTAAAAAGGTCTTGTGCAGCAGATTTGCTTAATGCAATACGTTGTTTGATCTCTTGACTGCTGCTTCTGTGAGTGTTGATAGTTGATCCAAAAAGAATGAAGTCCTTGACAACTTCAATATTTCCCACACTGATAAGAATGTTGTTTATTGGTCCAGTGGTGAGGATTTTTGTTTTGTTTACATTTAGATGTAATCCATATTGAAGGCTGTGTTCTTTGAGGCAGTTGTTTGAACAGAACATGGGAACACTGAATGTTTTAAAATTAAGATAGGTGTGCAACAAGGTTGTATTCTTTCACCATACTTATTCAACCTGTATGCTGAGCAAATAATCTGAGAAACTGGGTTCTATGAAGAAAAACATGGTATCAGGATTGGAGGAAGAAAAAAAAATAGCTAAAATGAATAGAGAGGAATACTGTCAACTGATGGTACATGGAAGGGTTTATATTCATTGTAATGAAATAAAGTGTCTGATTTGTTGAATGTAGAACTGATGATCTGCCCTGAAAACTTTCTCTCAATTCACAATAAAAACTTAAGAAGGAAATACAAGAAACTTCAGTAAAAATTTAATGATCTGCTGACATTTAGATAATGGTGACAAAACTGAGTAGGTACATGTGGCATTTAGAAAACCTCAAGCTGAGGGAACTGAAGAAAAAACTCAAGCCTCAACCTGCAGTATTCAAGGATTCTCTGGGGAAATTATTGAATGCTGCAGAAAGCATCAAAAGAAGATGGAAGGAATACACAGAGTCATGTACCAAAAAGATATAGTCAATGTTCAGCCATTTCAAGAGACAGCATATGATCAAGGCCAATGATCCCGAAGAAAGAAGTCCAGGGGGCATTGAAGGCATTAGCAAAGAACAAGGCACTGGGAACTGATGGAATACAAACTGAAATCATTCAACAAACTGATGCAGCACTAGAAGCTTTCACTCATTTGTGCCAAGAAATCTGAAAGACAACTATCTGCCCGACTGACTGGAAGAGATCCATATTTGTGCCCATTTCAAAGAGAAGTAACCCAACAGAATGTGGAAATCACCAGACAGTATCATTGATATTCCATGCAAGTAAAGTTTTACTCCAGGCAGTACAGAAATGGATGCAAACATACGTTGACAGAGGACTTCCAGAGGTTTGAACCTGATTCAGAAGAGGACGTAGAATGAGGGATATCATTGCTGACATCAGATGGATCTTAGCTAAAAGCAGAATCACATGTAAAGAAATATT